GTCAGACCGAGATCGGAAAATGTATTGAACTAATATAAAGGAAAGGGATACCTGAAAATGCCCTCCTCAAACCAGGCTTTAAATAACACAATAGCAACCAACCACTTGAAATGAGATCTAGAAATCGCTGAAGAAGCATCACCCCATGCAGTACAAACTTGCAATCTATCATCACCAAAAAATACAGGGGGACACATGAGGAGAAGAGAGAAAGAAAAAATGGCACACACTTACAACACTCATAACAGGGGAGAAACAAAAAGGGAAAGCACAAACAATACAACAAGAGCACTGCTAAAGTAACGAATTATTGAACGCCATTGGCCAGGCGAGACCAAGCCAGGACACTGCACCGTTGACGCAATCAAAAGCACCACGCATCCGAGAGTACACAATGGCGCGACACCACTTGTGCCGTGGGGTATAATCGAAAAGACACACGAGCAAAGACGACACCACGACATATGTGTGCCACCGACAAGGTCGAAGGGCACCGCCTAGTAGACCAAACCAAGACACTGCACCGTCGACGCAATCGAAGGCACCGCGCATCTGAGACTGCCCCAATGTCACGACACCACTTGTGTCGTGCGGCACAATCGAAATGTCACGCAAGCCAAGACGACGCCATATCACCTGTGTGCCATCGGTATAGTCACATAGGACACCGCCGCGCGAGGTAGAGACACCCTGAGCACCAACCAGAAGAACATCGACGAAGACGAGGGAAGACGGCCAACCCCCAAGCCATGGCCCTCCCGGGTGGGAGGAACCACATCCATGGCTGCCACAGCAAAGCCATGGAGCTCGCCAACCCGACGGACAAGCGCCCGCCGACGTTGACAACATGACAAGGGGGCTCTTCCACTCTTTGACACACTTTTTGACACCTAGGATAAATATGCCATTCCGTTAGGAAATTGAAACGTTTGCACGTCGGCCGTCTATCAGCGATCGAACGGCTACATTTCTAGCTTCAAAAACCTCATAACAAACCCCGGCCACCCGCACCGCCCGACGGAACCGATGCCCTCTCCCGGCCTGCCGCCCCCCGCCGCCGCGCTCCTCGCCGACGTCGGCGCCCTCCGCCGCTCGTACGCACGCCTCATCGCCCTCTCCTCCACGCTCCGCCACCTCGACCAGATCCTCGCCGTCTGCCTCGCCTCCGGCCACTACACCGTCGACCCCGCCCCGGCCACCTCGCTCCTCATCCGCTACGCCGCCCTCCGCACACCTCCCGGCCAGCTCCTCCGCCTCTTCCGCGCCGTCCCCAGTCCCGACCGCTTCCTTCGCAACGCCCTCCTCCGCTCCCTCCCGTGCCTCCGCCCCGACCTCCTCTTCCCCTCCCCCGACTCCTTCTCCTTCGCCTTCGCCGCCACCTCGCTCAACTCTTCCAGCTCGCGCGGCGGCGTCGCTTCTCTCTCCGCCTCCGCGCGCGCGCTGCACGGGCTCGCCGTGGCCGCGGGGTACGCGGGGGACACGTTCGTGGCGTCGGCCTTCACCAAGCTCTACTCCACGCTGTCGAGAGGCGATGACGCACGCAAGGTGTTCGACGCAGTGCCGTCTCCGGACACGGTCCTCTGGAACACGCTGCTCGCCGTGCTGTCCAGATCGGAGGCCATGGAGGCGTTCGTGCGGATGGTCAGGGCAGGATCAGCGCAGCCTGACTCGACGACGTTGTCATCCGTCCTGCCGGCAGCAGCGGAGGTTGCGGATGTGACGATGGGAAGGTGCGTCCATGCCTTCGGGGAGAAATGCGGATTGGCACAAGACGAGCATGTTGTGACGGCGCTGATCTCACTGTATGCCAAGTGCGGGGACACGGAGTGTGCACGACGTCTCTTTGACAGGATGGTGGTGCCGGATTTGGTTGCATACAATGCCTTGATCTCAGGCTACTCGGTTAATGGCATGGTTGGATTGTCGGTGGAGCTGTTTAAGGATCTGGTGACCTTGGGCTTGAGGCCAACCTCGAGCACGTTGGTGGCGCTGATCCCGGTGCACAGTCCATTCGGGCATGAACAGCTTACTCGGTGCTTACATGCGTATGTTGTCAAGGCTGGATTTGATGCCAATGCTCCTGTATTGACAGCGCTTACCACTCTGTACTGTAGGTTAAACGACATGGACTCTGCAAGGAAAGCCTTTGATGCAATGCCTGAAAAGACCATGGAATCATGGAATGCCATGATATCGGGGTATGCCCAGAATGGTTTGACGGAGAAGGCCGTTGCACTCTTCCAGAAAATGCAGGCGCTTAATGTGCCACCAAATCCGCTCACCATCTCGAGCACTCTGTCGGCCTGTGCACAGCTTGGAGCTTTGTCATTGGGAAAGTGGGTACACAAGATCATCTCCAAGGAGAACCTCGAACTCAATGTTTATGTCATTACAGCGCTCATTGACATGTATGTGAAGTGCGGAAGCATTGTTGAAGCTCGCCGCATCTTCGACAGAATGGACAATAAGAATGTGGTCTCCTGGAATGTGATGATCTCTGGATATGGCCTCCATGGTCAAGGTGCTGAAGCTTTGAAGCTCTACAAGGACATGCTGGATGCAAACCTTCTTCCAACAAGCTCCACCTTCCTGTCAGTACTCTATGCGTGCAGCCATGGAGGATTGGTTGAGGAAGGGCGGACAGCCTTCCGGTCAATGACTAGCCATTACGGGTTCACTCCAGGTATCGAGCACTGCACTTGCATGGTGGATCTTCTTGGCCGAGCTGGCCGGCTCAAGGAGGCTTATGAGCTCATCTCAGAGTTCCCCAAGAGCGCCATTGGACCTGGCGTATGGGGGGCTTTACTTGCTGCTTGCATGGTTCATAAGGATGCTGACCTTGCAAAATTGGCCTCCCAGAAGTTGTTTGAACTAGAACCTGAGAACACCGGCTACTATGTGCTGCTCTCCAATCTGTACACGTCAAAGAAGCAGTACTCTGAAGCAGCTGGGGTGAGGCAGGAGGCCAAGAGCAAGAAGCTGGTGAAAACACCAGGGTGTACTCTAATCGAGATAGGTGACAAACCGCATGTCTTCATGGCTGGCGATCGTGCCCACCCACAGTCAGACGCCATCTACTCGTACTTGGAGAAGCTCACTACAAAGATGATTGAGGCTGGGTACCGACCCGACACGGAGGCAGCATTGTATGACGTCGAGGAGGAAGAGAAGGAGCATATGGTAAAGGTGCACAGCGAGAAGTTGGCCATCGCCTTTGGATTACTGAATACAGAACCTGGGACAGAGATCAGGATCATCAAGAACCTGAGGGTGTGTCTGGACTGTCATAACGCCACCAAGATTATATCCAAGGTGACGCAGAGGCTGATTGTGGTTAGGGATGCGTCAAGGTTTCACCATTTCAGAGATGGTGTTTGCTCCTGTGGTGATTACTGGTGATCCACTGGGATTTGCTCTGATCTCTTAACAGATGATTAGTCGATTCTCACGAGGTAATCCTCCCTGGAGAGCATTTGCTGAGCTAAAATAATTTGTAACCCTCTGGCGCCATTTTTGTGTGGCTGGAGAAAGTCAGAACTGACTCATAACCAGCACATTCCCCATTTCAGTTCCCAACAAGAGCCAAGGTTTTAACCCAAGGCACAAACTCTCTCGCCAGTATACAACAATTTTGCCAGCTCATGGAGAAGCACAACTCCTTCAGCATACAGTTGAAGTCGTTCACACAAACATAGTGCTGATGATAGAACCCTTGTAATGGATCGAAAATTATAATGTTTGATTGCCAAGATTGCCAATTGGCATAACATGCGAGCTACAGAATAATTTGTGCTTTTCTACAAGTATGGTTAAAAGTGTTAACCAACATTGCTAGAAGCCAGAACACAAGCTTTGTTAGTACTTGTTTTCCTGGTAACAAATCATTACTTCACAATAGATTCTCGATGGTGTTGCTCGCTGTAATGACAACGTGGTGTCTGCTAATGGATTGGAGAGAGCACTGCTCTTTATCAAAAAAAAAAAGTTATCGAGGGCAGCTGTTTTGCCTAAGATGCTGAATGAACTGCAGTATTTCAGCATTGGCTATCATAGGTTTGCTGCTGAGCTACGCCGTCTTGGTCATGGCAGAATCTTCATCAGCCAGTGTGTGCCATTCCAGATTTCGAGACATGTGTTCTTCCTGCTGCCATTGGCAAAAGATATATATTAGTGTCCATTAAGTAATCTGTATAAATTCAAATCGTGTTGAATAGAGAGTACCGGTAGGCTTAAATGACCATGTCTTGAAAGTAATACGAAGAAAGGACTGTTAAGAAGAGTGATGAAGAAAGAAGATTCATGACAAACAGGAACTATTGTCAAGCTTATGAGACAAGATAATTAACTTATGAGCTGCATGAGAATTTAGTCCGTTGTTCCTACCTAGCTCCTCAGTCTTTGGCCGCTTGCAGTCAGGACTCAGGATCCAGATGCTATTCAGTATACATAACCAGGCACTTTAGCATGCGATGGAGGCAAACAAAGGTTCTTCATGAATCATGAGCTCAGATGAGCCTAGCCTCAAGAACTTTGTCAGCGTTGATATGGTTATAGCCTTGTGATGGCAGGCCAGCACCCAGCAGCATATCAACATCCACAGTGTGTTCTAAGAGTACATTTTGGTGAGGTCTAAAAATCTGAATATCTCATGTCGCCATGTAGCTTCAAAAATGAACAACCTTGTGATGAAATCTGAGATTATAATGTTCTGCCAACACTAGCCAGGTGTATTCATCATCTCAGATTTCATTTTAAAATTTGACCTTATCAGTTATCCTCGTCGTTTCAGTATTCATTCCAAATTTGGAGCCAGATCCTCAGGTACCAGACAACACACTCCACAGTCTACATTACTCCATCCTTATTCTGGATCTCGCTCCCATAAGATATGAGTGTACACAGGAGATACAAAGAGAGATTCTCCTGAATAATTAGTAACTCTATGGACCGATCAGGTGTGAAAAAATACAACTCTGTGGCCTTTGTTAGGGACATCAAATTCATCCATTTTCAAGTCCCACAGAGCTGCACCCGGGTAGCTTGACTAGTCCTCTTTCCTGCATCGATCTCCTGATAGCAATTGACTTGTCCCACCTCCCGTATGAGGTATACAAGTTGGACATGAGCACATAAAAATCTGGCGTGTCAGGATGAAGAACCATCATCCTATTGATAGCTTCTTCTCCAAACTCTAACCTGGAATGGAGCTTGCACCCATGGAGAAAAGCTCCCCAGACACTAATGTCTGCTTGCATTGGCATCTTCTGTATGAACTCCAATGCCTCCTCCAGATTTCCGGCACGGGCCAGCACATCAACCATACATGCATAATGCTTCATAGAAGGAGTGATGTTGAAATACTTTGCCATGCTCTCGAAACACTTCTTTCCTACAGTAACCATTCCAGTGTGGCTGCAAGTGGAAAGGACACTTGTGAAGACTACTTCATTTGGTTGGATATTGTCCTTCAGCATTTCATTAAAAAGGTCAATCGAGCCAGCAGAATCGCCCTGCATACCATAGCCTCCAATCATAGCACCCCAAGTGACAGAATTGCGGTCATTCATCTCACCGAACACCCTCTGAGCAGATGGGAGATCAGCACACTTGTTGTACAGGTTCAGCAGAGCAGTGTTGTCAGGACCCCGACTCGATGTCACATCGATCTAGCTGGTAACACCTCATATCACTTTGCGGCCTCACGCACGGTATCCCCACGGGTGTCGTCTTACCTTTTCCCGGGACCGTTTGCGCCTTTTGGCTCACGTATATGATAGTGTCGCTAGCATCCATATGATAAGGAGCCCGGGCTGACATGACTAGTCGTAAACCCAAAGTGGCACAGACTTACAGGGACAGGCATCCATGACCCAGCTTCGAACGTGTCGGTCATCAGCAAGTGGGTCCGGGCTGTAGCACTGGGCTAGCAGGACTCCGGTAAACCGGGCTGTAGCGGGCTAACAGGACTCCGGTACTCAAAGCGTGACATTTCCCCGAAGGGACAGACACAGGAACGAAGAAGGACACATGCCGGCCAGCCTAAGTGTTCCAGAGCAGTAGCAAGCTACCATGGCTCAGCGGTAACACTAGGAGACATTTCCCAGTAAGAGAGGCTACTAAAGATAAACAACTAGATGGTCAGATCCCACACATACCAAGCATTTCAATCATACACACAATATGCTCGATATGTGCAAATACAACGAAGCATCACAACATGACTCTACGACACAAGTACTTTATTTAAGGCTCAGTGAGCCATACATAACATACACAAAGGTACGGGTCTCACGACCCAACATACAAGTCATACAATCATACAAACCAGCAGCGGAAGTAACTTGTCTGAGTACAGACAACTAGTAAAATAAAAGAGGCTTGGAAAGCCTAGCTATACTACGTGGTTCTTCACAAGCTCAGGGTCACCACCTGGGTCTTTAGCCTACTCGTTGATGTCAACGTCTACATAGAACCCATCAGAAGGGGTTGCAGCGTCTTCTGTAAAAATGTAGATTATAGCAACATGAGTACAAAGGTACTCAGCAAGACTTACATCAGATCCTACATACATGCATAGTATCAGAAGGGTTGGTGGAGTTATTGCAGCAAGCCAGCTTTGACTCTTGGCTAGGCTATCCTACGATACTCCAACTTGAAATGGTTTTGCGCACACGAGTCCACTATTCACCACTTCAATACACTACCGAGGATCCACCTCCGTCTTCCTACGGAAGAGCCATCCTCGGCACTCACACTTATCTTGAGGCTTTTAGTAGTTTCCATTTACTTGTCTATGAACTGTATAGGCAACCAAGTAGTCCTTTACCGCGGACGCGGCTATTCGAATAGATTATGATAACCCTGCAGGGGTGTACTTCGTCATACATGTTTCCACCACTTAGCGTCTGCACACGACATGTGCTCGGCAGACTTCAAGCGAAAGCCGACGTGGGTGTAGACCACGACCTACCTAAACACTTAAGCCTCTAGTCCAGGTTTATCGCCTATTCAGGTTCCATCCGCAGGGAGTCCGGCCGAGGTTTCCCATACGGCCCCGAACGATGTGAACAGAGTTCCCGAGATACCTAACGGGTATTCGGTACACCCGGCCACGTACCTACCGCATCACAGCCCACCCCTACGGTCAGCGCTGTCCACGGCCTCCAGTAGGCTACAAACACCAGAAACTACTTGCAACTCCTGGACAGAGAGCTAGGGTGAATAAGAAGTCGAGCGGGGTCATATTTCAGGGCCTAATGCATGGTAGTAGCTGTATCTTAAATCACATATACAGATCTCAGTGCTTAAGGTCGGCTTCAATGAAACAACCCACCATGTACTCCTACATGGCCTCTCATCGATACCTTTACCAAATCGTGTTCACCACACCACTCTCATTACCAACATAATCATTTCACTCCAGCCCATCACCCCGATGAACCAGACCTGACACGACTCTAAGCATAGCAGGCATAGCAAGGTAGGAACAACACATACATATGGCTCAATCAACTCCTACACATGCTAGTGGGTTTCATCTAGTTACTGTGGCAATGACAGGTCATGCAGAGGAAATGGGTTCAACTACCGTAGCACACAGCAGTTTGAATCGTGTTGTCTTAATGCAGTAAAAGAGAGCAGGAGCGAGAACATGGGATTGTATCGATATGATCAAATGGTTGGTTGCTTGCCTGATGGTTCGATGCACTGATATGGTTCTTCGTTAGGGTAATCACGGTACTCCTCGGGGGCAGAACCTGTCGCAAAGGACATCGATACACAAGCATCACCAAACAATGTGCAACAATATGATGCATGCATGAAACATGGCAATATGAGTGTGTTGGGCTAATGCAACTAAAACCAGAGGGGTTTGAACAAATTTGAATCAAAGATTCAAATTTCAAACTCAAACATGGCCTTTTAAAGTGCTTTTCCTTGTTCTGCTTAAAACATCAATTTAACTTGTTTGATCATGCATGAAAATAGTACAGATGGATAGATTGAATTTTTCTGATCATTTTTCATATATAATTTGTCCAATTTGGAGTTACAGAATAAAAGTTATGAATTTTTGAAGTTTAAATAATATTCTGGAATTTCCTGATTTAATTTAAATCCAGAATATAATTATTGCGCCAGCATGACGTCAGCATGACGTTAGTGGTCAACTGCGATTGGCTGGAGTCAAACCTGACGTGTGGGGGCCACACGTCAGTGACGGGGGGGTTTAACAGGTTTAATTTAATCCTAATTAGGGATTAGAGGCGCTGGGGCCCACTGTCAGTGTCAGGGGGTTGACTAACAGTAGTTAGCGCTAACCTAACCACCTGGCCGACAGGGCCCACGCGTCAGTGACCCTGGGGGGGTCAAACCCCAGGTCGGACAAGTCAAACCCCACCGGCGACATGACGCCGGCGAGGTCCGAGACGGCGGCGAAAGTGCTTTTTGCCATTCCGGCAACCAAATGGACGGCGGAAGGCATCTACGTGTTGCTGAGGTTGAGCCGCGACTATTGGTGGTGGTGGTTGGGCTCGGGGTGGCCGGAGTTGACGACGGCGAGCTCGGCTGCGGCGGCCGGAGTTCGGGTGCGGTCGGAAACGGCGTTGCAGGGCGTTAGGGGAGGTGTTGGTGCGTGCTACGTGCTCCTAGTGAGGTGTGGAGCACGATGGTGTGCTCGGTTGGGCGCTACGGCGACCGTGGCCACGACGGCGACATCGTCGGCGGCGTGGAGCTCTCGGCCGAGGTGGGGCTAGGGCCTAGAGGTCGGGAGAGACCAGGGGAGAAGGGGGAAACGACTCGGGGGCTCACCGCGGTTGCAGTGGGCGTCGAAGTGGGCTCGGGGACGCGCCGGAGACGACGAATTTGACGGCGACGGTGGTCGGAGCCCGAAGAGGAGAACGGCGACGTGGCGGCGATGCAGGGCTTCCGGAGACCCGTGGAGCGGTGGGGAGGAAGAGGGAGTCGAGGCGGAGCTCCTGAGCTAGTCGGGGGAGCGAGGGGTGGTCGGAGACGGCGGCTATGGCGAACGGCGGCGACGGTGGTGTTCGGCCGTGAGAGAGAGGGAGGGAGCAGCACGGGAGAGAGAGAGGGATAAGGCCAGGGGATCGGGGCGGCACCGAGAAGAAGCGCCGCGGCGTCGCGCTGGCGAGGGAGGCAGGCAGACGGGCTGGTGGCGTGGCGCTCCGGCCGTGCGCGCGCGCCGGCCACACGCCTGGCCGACTGGCGCCAGGAGGACGACGGCGGTGGTGGGCTGGGCTGGCTTGCTGGGCCGGCCAGCTGGCTGGGCCGCACAGGTAAGTTTTTCCCTTTTTTTCTGTTTCTGTTTTTATTTAATATATCTGCAACTTTGTTGAATTAAATAAAATACCTAGGCAACTCCAAAAATCACCAAACTATTCCTGGCCCATAGTTGGATTATTTCCAACATGAAACATTTTAGTTTGGAGATATTTGAGCATTTAAATATTTTATATTATTTTAAATGCCCAAATTCAAATACTTATGATTTAAATCAAAAACCCTAGGATGGCCTAGGAAAATGTGCACCACTTTTGGCAGAGGTTCTGAACCAAGGCAAAAATGATGGGCATTTTAGAAGGGCATTTCAGGTTCATTGAAAAATTATTTTAGTAACCCTGGTTGGTTTCAGAGGGGACTGGGGGTTCTGTCATCCCCATTTCAAGTTTCTGATGAAAGAGTAAACATGATGCAACACTCTAATGCATGACTAGCTAGGTTGTGACAACTCACCCCCACTCAAAAGAATCTCGTCCCGAGATTTGGGTTCCTCCGAGAAGAAGGCGGGATATTCAAGTCGAAGACGATCCTCCCTTTCCCAAGTTGCTTCATCCTCAGAATGGTGCGACCATTGAACCTTGAGAAACTTGATATTATGACGTCGCGTGGTACGTTCGGCTTGATCGAGGATACGAATGGGGTACTCTCGATATGTAAGATCATCTTGGAGATCAAGCGTTTCGTGGTCCACTTCACGGATAGGATCCGAGAAGCAACGCCTGAGTTGAGAAACGTGGAAGACATCGTGAACTCTGGAGAGGTGCGGAGGTAGTTCCAACTGGTAGGCAACTTCTCCTCGTTTGGCAAGAATGCGAAAAGGTCCAATGTAACGAGGAGCCAATTTTCCTTTGATACCGAAACGATGGGTTTCCTTCAGAGGGGTGACCCGAAGATAAGCCTTCTCGTCAACCTCGAAAGTCATAGCCTTATGTTTTCGGTCATATTGACTTTTTTGACGAGATTGGGCTGTTTTCAACTTTTCACGAACGATACGAACTTGTTCTTCTGCTTCCTGAATCATAACCTCGGCTAGTGAAGGAGGATGAGGCAGATTTTCATTCCTGGCTTCACTGCCTTCGGCCTGCTCTTGGGAAGCAGGGTTAGCGCGCGTGTTGACCATCCTAGGTAAACAAGACAATGATTTAGTCAGGATGGTAAAATTCCGACATAGGATACATAATGTAAGGAATAACTCGGAATGCAAGATGATCATCCGTATGACATGGTAGATACAGAAACTGCTTCTTTTATTCCATCGTCATACACA